GTTTCCAAAGGTGTTTCATCAGCAACTTCATGAACCTCTTCAACATTTGCAGCAAACTTATTATTTTCTTGTCCCCTGACATATGTGTTTCTACTCTTCTTTAGCTTCCAGCAAAATTCCCTAGTATGATTGGTCTTGTGACAATAGTCACAGAATTTTTTTGTTTTCTTGTAGTCATTCATCTTTGCATTGTGATCCCAACTCATATTGGAGCTTGAAGTATTTCCTTTTCCTCCAGTCACATATCCATCTGTTGGTTTCTGAACTGCCATAGCAGTAGCATCTTGATCAACAAAAATGCCAGAACTAATGTTCTTCTGCATTTCAACTTGTTGGACACTGAAATACGCTTGATTCACAGTAGGTAATGGATCTATACCCAGTATTTGACCTCTTATGACTTCATACTTGTCATCGAGTCCCATCAAGAAATCTAACAACCTGTTCCTATTCTCCCTGTCAAGAATTTTCTTTAGCAGATTACAGGAGCATGCATTTAAAGCACCACAGTCACATTCAGGTAAACCATCAAGACTTTGTAAATCTTCCCAAACTGATCTCAATCTGCCATAGTAATCAACTACAGGTTGTCCATCTTGTGATATGTGAACCATGTCTTTGCGTCGTTGATATAGGAATGGAGCATTAGTCTGATTATATCTTTCACTTAGTTCTTCCCACAATTGTTTAGATGATGTGACATACATCATGCTGTTTGCTATTGCAGGATTCAGAGAGTGTAAGATCCAACACATAACAGTATAATCAGCTCTAATCCAATCCTGGTACTTCTCATTATTTTCAGATGGCTTGGCACATTTTCCATTTATAAAACCAAGTTTATTTTTGGATATCAACGCCATTTTAACTCCTCTAGTCCAGTTAAGGTAATGTTTACCATTGAAAGGTGTAGAAACTAGTTGCAGATTCGGATGATCTCCAGGACCCAGGTACAGCGGATCCTTGTTGTTGATAACGTTGGAATTTCTTCCATCTTGACTGCTTTCTCCATCAATCGCCATCAGCAAGATATAGATCAACAAACAGATTGTGAAATACGAATTGACGAACAAAATCAAATTCACAAGAACACAGATCGTGAAATACGAATTGACAAAAAAATCAAATTCATAGGGAGATAGCAACAGCGACAATAGAAATCGCTAAAAAATAAAAGAGATGAAGAATCGGCAATCAAGATCCAGTATAAACTGTCTCTGATACCATGAAGAAACTAAGCATATCTGCCATTAAAGAAGCTTCGTGAGTACATGAGTAATCTGAGAGAAGAGAAAGAGAGTATTCATTCGAGAGAGTTATACGATTACAAAGTTCATGAAAGATATTTATACATGAGCTGTCTAACAGAATGAAACTAATTATTACAAACAGATTTGACTATTCTAACAAACATTAATCCAGCTCATCAAGTTGACTTTCTTTGTATTTTCTACACGTAAAAAACAAGGGTAAAAGAGTACTTCTAATTTCTAACAGCACATAAATAATTTTCAGCTGAAAAAGTAACTTTGATGTTGCTTTTTTGGCTGATAAGAAAATTCAGCTCAAACAGCCCAAAAGCATTGTGTTTGGCTATATTTTTTTAATTTCAGGCTTATAATTTAAGCCTATTTTTGGGGCTCCAAACACCCTCATTATGTATAAATACTTTTAATATGTAAAAAGTATGTTGATATTTTAAACTTTGGCCCCTGCAATGTAAAATTGTTAAGGACCGGCCCCTTTAACCCTAAATGTCTGGCTCCGCCACCGGTAAGACCTCACCTGTAGTTAATCATGTAATGTACAACTGAATCTATTTGATGACAATTAATCATATATGATGTTGATTTTATGAGTAGCTGAGGTCTTATAACTTCCTAAGCATATAAAGGTGTATACTTATCATTTTCATTTGTAGCATAGTATGACAAAATGATGAATGTAGTGAAGCCTACTTTCCCTCTTTTTTATTCTCTTTACTTACATTTTTACAAGTTTACCTATTCTAATGTTATACACAGGTATTTTGGCCGTGAACTAAAATGCAATTTTTATTGATTTTTTCTCTCTTCTTGCAATATGAGCCTTATAACTACAAAGTACTGTTCTTTCAAAAAAACTACCAAGTACTATGAAATTTTATAATTATATGTATTGATCAAATGTTTTGTTATCTTCAAGGACCAAGACTTTAAACAACACCAGCAGCAGCAGTAGAGCGACGGCGGCTGCCACCGACTGCCGCCGCCGGCCGCCGCTGCCGCCGCCGCCGCCGCCGCTGCTGCCGCCGCCGCTGCCGCCGCCGCCGCCTCTGCCGCCGCTTCCTTCGCCGCCGCCGCCGCCGCTGCCGCCGCCGCTGCTGCCGCCGCTGCTGCTTAAAGTCTTGGTCCTTGAAGATAACAAAACATTTGATCAATACATGTAATTATAAATTTTCATAGTACTTGGTAGTTTTTTTGAAAAAACATTACTCTGTAGTTATAAGGTTCATATTGCAAGAACAGAGAGAAAAAATCAATAAACAAATTGCATTTTAGTTCACGGCCAAAATACCTGTGTATAACATTAGAATAGGTAAACTTGTACAAATGTAAGTAAAGAGAATAAAAAAAGAAGGAAAGTAGGCTTCACTACATTCATCATTTTGTCATACTATATCAGCTACAAATATATTACTAATTTTTTTTATTCGAATGTACCGCTCAGTAGGGTCGTTGACTCGTTATTTCTGAGTGAACCATTTCTATATTAACTAATAATTTAAGATCAAATTTGCAAAAATATTGAAAACCACAAGAAAAAGCGAACGTAAAACCGGATTCATATGCTTATTTTCCATTAGTTTGTGTTGTATTGCAATGCTGAGATAACATAAATATTTTGATTCGACTTTATTAGCTTTAATATCACATGAAACAAATGAATTGATATTATTAATATATAAGTAATGAAAACTGAAACAATAGCCATTTCAAGCAAAATCACCACATGCACCCTTTTCAGAAAAGATGGTGGTGTCTTTTGAATTGAGGCAAGGGTTATACATATCGAAAAGCATTTGTAACTTTGTACTATATCATAGTATTGATGAGGCAGCCAAAATTAATTCCCAATGCAAAACTATGAAAACTACAAACAGTAATTAAGCTAAATAAAGATCACACCAAAATACTTATAAAGATCACACTAAAGTACTTCGCTATCAATGAAAGAAAAGTAAACTGAAAGAGTTAGTACAATAGTGTAACTAAAAAAAGTTACATATTGGATAAAGATATTAAAAATTGAATTTAGATAGGAATAAAAATACAATATAGACTTTCGAACCTTGTGAGTAAAGCTATAAGTTTTTGTATAGATGATATCACGTATTTCCAAAGAGTTTTATATTATCAAAGTTTCTAGGACTATTCGTGTATTTCCCAAGAGTTTATTGGATTATCCATGGATTTTGTATAAGAACACATGCGTATTCTTCAAATCCATTTTAGACACTGCTAAATCAACCCTAGATAGTGACTAAAGAAGGCAATTTTAGAATCAACATGGACTTCTTCTACACCTCACCTCTACTCCTCATAGTTAAGTCCTTGAAGAATCTAGAATTTCAGGATTTTCTTTTCACATGAGAAGAAGGAAAGCTTCACACTAAATCACCAAAAAGTGCATAATCTATGAGAATACCTTAAAGAGGAACCTCACGTTAGAAGAGGTTGATATCTATTCGAAGAAAAAGAGTCAATCGATAAGCTCGATCAAGCGTTCTTTCATGGTGGAAATGAGCGGGAAGCCACTTAACTCACCGAAAAACCCGAACTCAAAAAACTGAAAAACTGAACTCAAAACAACCAAAAACTGAATAAAAAACCGAATCGAATAACCCCAAACCATAACCAAAACAACCGAACCGCAAGAAAATCGAAACCGGACTCAAAAAACTGAACCGAACCTTAGTTGTTTGGTTTCGATTTTGGTTTTCACATCTCAAAACCGAACCAAACCGAATAAACCGAACTTTTTAAAACTTGAAACTTTATTTATTAATCATTAAATATAACACTTATGGTTTGATTAAGTAAAACACTTGTACACACACTTAAATCTATTACTATAATACTAACATGTTGATATTTTAAATCGTAATTTACATTTTGCTTCTTGTTGCATACTTCGTATATGACAAAAATATTTTGTTGATATATTATATGTTATGTATGTTTGTTATCACCAAATTTTTATATTGAACAAATATGTATTGATATAAACTATATTTTAAACAACATAGCAAAAAATGTGAAACTTTAGAGCATAAATATCTTTGTATAAAAGAAAGTAGAACAAGTTATTTACTAATAAAATTCTAACTTACGAATACATTATAATTCACAAATAAACTCACGTGTTTAATTAATTTAGAAAATGTTTAAATTGGTATACATGTACTCTCAAATTCATTGTTTGGAAGTGCATTTGTTTCTTCTTTCTTTTAATTATGTATGTTTTTTTATTGTATTACTATTAATAATAGTTTGAAGTAGTTTATTGTTTTGTTTTTGTTTTCCTATTACTACTTTTCTAATGAACAAAAATACTTTTGGTAAAAACCGAAACAACCGAAATCGAATCGAAATAAACCGAACCGAACAAACCGTGGTTCCAAATTTTTGAGCACAAAACCGAACCGAACTGAACTTTTTACTTTGGTTCGACATTTGATTTTAGGTGAAAACCGAACCGTTTGAACCGAACCCACCCCTAATGTTTAGGGGGTTCTAAATACTACCTCCGTCCCATTTATATTGGGACGGAAGAGGGTGACACTGTTATTAAGAAAAGTGAGTTTGCGTGGTTGATATTAATTGGTAAAGTAAAAATAAAGTAAGAATGATTTAAAGCCACACAAATTTTGCCAAATATGGTATGTTACAATTTAAGTAGGACTTCCCGAAAAAGTAAAACGGGACAATAGACTCCTTATTCTCAACCGTACCCTTGAAGCTTCTTCCATATTCCGCAACAGACTTTCGCGCAACAGACCTCCCGTTCCATATCGCGCGCCGACCTTCGGCTCTCTGAAGAAAAGTAGTCGTCAGGTTTGTATACTAATCCACAGACCTCTATTGTATGTCATTTAAATAAATTATATCGCCACACTGGTATCCTTCTTCAGTTCTTCCATTTACAGTATACAGAGTAGTGTATTACGGAGTATTATATTATTCAACCCCAATTACCTCTTACCAATTCTCTTTACCAATTACTTCTTAAATGCTAATTTGCTAAACCTGAATCCAAACATTCTGGACAACCTGGTGTGAGGGAGATGCCTTGAGAATGTTATCATGGAGCTCCTGTTGGTTTTTTCAATTACCTGGCCCCTGCCTCCGATCCCTGCCTCACACTTATTACTTTACTAGTTTCTTTTCTTTGTATGTAAATTTAGAGATGATAATTGTGATCGATCCGATGGATACCTGAACCGTTCTGGTCAAAACGGGGAAAATCGCGTTGACCTGGTAACGGGTATAGTGCGGGGAATACCCGTTTTGTTTTTACGGGTAAGAGAGTGGTTACGGTTTATACATGCTCGCCCCGTACCCGCCCCGTTTAAAAATCTATTATTTGCCCCAAAACTACTACAAGATGAGAATTTTCTATTTTCGTTGTGTATATATGGATAAGAGATGTACTAATTATAGTGCATGAATCAAAGTTTGTAATAGATCTTAATAGTATGGGTTGATTATTATCAGATTTGTTGGTGATTAATTAGTTTTTAGATTAAGTATTTTTAGGTTGCTTTTTTCTCGTTTTGTAGATGTACGAAACTTTAAAGTGTCGTATGAGTCTAGAGTTGTCTAGGTGATGTCATTTTTCACCCTTTAAAATATTATTTTTATAATAAAATGTCAATGATTAATTCAAAAATATGATTACTCACGGTTATACCCATTGAGGTGGTTATGGTTTGGGTAAAAATTCTCCGTTGGGTAATGGGACGGACCGGCGGTTATGGGACGGGTAATTACCAAACAGGCGGGTATGGTTATATGTAAAATCGTCCTCGATCCGCCCCGTTGTTATCCTTATGTAAATTTCAGTTTAAGAACCTGTTCGGTAACATTGAAATCGGCTTAATAAGTTGATATTTGCTGAAATTTATGAAGTTCTGGCCGAAGTGGTTGTATTAACTATTAACTGATTCTGTGGATTTCTAAAAAATTATATTTGAAATATATTTTATTAATAAAATAAAGAAAATTTTATACGGAGTATAAAAAATAGCTAAAATGATCATCTACATTAACATCAGTCAATATATCCAGAAAAATAACTACAACCTTATTTTTTCTTATTATTACACAATTCAGTACGTGAAATCAAAACTTACCTTTACGGTTAAAAAGTTGGCTCGTAAACTGATAAGCCGAAAAACAGATTCACAAAACAGGCTCTAAAACTTGAAGCTATGTTGTGAGGCCATATTTCTCCTCCGTATCTCATAAAATTTTAGTAACCTTTGTAGTACACTCTTGCTACATGTGAAAAGATTTGGGAGATTACCTTTAAAAATGAAAAAATAGGAAGGGTTTACTTTGCTGTAGGCCGTGTGCGTGTGCTTGCTTTGAATATTTTACAGTAGGAAGGGTTACGTTCAATAAAGAAACAAATATGAAAATGTACTAATTTACTAAAAATCTCTCTATAACCCGCCAAACTAATCCGGGTCAAATTTGCCGACTCAATATAATCCGTTGTTTAGAATCCGCTAATATTATCCGTTAATCACAAACCGCTGATTACAAAGTTTGAAATATTTAAATTAGCTTTCTCATAAAAATAAAGTAAATAGAGGTAATATAGTACAGAAGTAAAGAGTAGGAGTACTATATTTTTCAACACAATACCGGAGTATATTTTTAATTTTATTCTTTTAATTTACCACTTAGGGCTCGTTTGATAGTTTACACGTTAAATCTTTGCACGCAAAGTGACTGAATGCAAAGTATAGGGAAACAATCACTTTGCATGTAAAATAGATTACATTGTTTGGCTAGGGAAGACTGGCAAATCATTTTTTGAAGTTGATTGTGTTTTTACATGTATATTTTGGCGCAATCTACTTCAAAAAATGATTTGACTGCCTTCCCGATCGAATTTTGAGTTGAAATTTGGTATGGATAAACTAGACTTGATGAAGAACATGCTCAAAAAATGCCATAAAAAATGCCATCGAAAAAAGGCAATCGGGAAATGCCCCAAATGACCATGTTTGGACACTGTTCGGACCAGGGGCTGCTGGACATGATCATCTCTCTCTCTCTCTATATATATATATATATCTTATAGAAGTATTATTATATACTATAATGCAAAAAAAATTTGCATTACAATATTGTATCATACTTCGTATATTTTATGGAATAATGACATAAAATGATTATATTACTAACTTTAGTGACTACAATTCTGTTTAATTTTACCTTTAGAGTGCCCATAATGTTATACTCACAATAACTCTAGTTATATTTTGTCAATAAATTTATTTCAATAAATGTGGTTTATTCAGTAACAGTGTAATAGTAATCTTATCTATTTAAGAGGTAAGTTGTTAGTGTTTAGGTTACAAGGGTTAGAGCTATACAAACTTGTTATAAAAATATAAGGGGCCTAAGAGTTTTTCTCTTGTGTTTTATACGTAATAAAAGTGTAAGTTTATGTTCTAATTTTCAGATAATGTTGATTACAATGTTTCAGATAATGTTGATTGGTAAAAATTATCAGCATGATATCATCAGCAACCTTCATGAAAGTTTAAAGCAAAACATCTTAATGTATTTGCCATTAAAAGATGCAGCAAGAACTAGTGTACTGTCAAGAAAGTGGAAGGATAGTTGGACTAAGCTTCCACACCTTAAACTTGATGAGACTTTGTGGCAAGGACCAAATGTTGGTGACTATGAATTTGCGTTACTTAAATTTCTTAAAAGCCTCTTCCATGTTGTACTTTGTCATAAAGGTCCTATCACCAAGGTCACACTCTCAATTCCGGGGATTAAAATTTATCCAGAGATTGACAGGTTACTGTCCATCCTATCAAAAAGAAATGTTGAGGAACTTGTGCTTCGTGTTTGCAATGGCGAGTACAGATTGCCCTCTTCGTTTTTTGGATGCCGAAAGTTGAAACACATGACACTTGATTCGTGTTTGGTTCACCCACCTTGTGGCTTCACTGGATTTAGGGAACTTGTCTCCATTGAAATGTTGGAGGTGACTATTTGTTCTGAAAGACTTGCAAGTCTTATTTCTTGCTGCCCTTTACTTGAACACCTGAAACTAAAAGGCTGTTACACTTACGATGCTCTTGAGATACATGCTCCTAGACTTAGGTCCTTTGAGCTTTTAGGTATCTTGGAATCTGTTTGTTTCAAGAACACCCCGCTTCTGGAAAAAGTTGTAATTCGTGCAGATGACATGGGTGGGTGTAACACACACTGGAACTCTAGCTTTGATGAGTTTTTCAGTTCTCTACCGATGCTTAAATATCTGGATTTCGATTATGACTACATGAAGGTATATTACAATTAGTGATATTTCTTTATATTTGCATTATCAAGAGTGTCAATCCTGTTTTCTGCTTATGCATGAAGCGTGTAGCTGGAGGTGGAGCCCCAACTAGACCTAGTTTTGCTGCTGCAGTCCATCTTAACATTCTATTTCTTGGAGGGATTTCATTAGAGGATCTGCATGAGATGCTATGTGTAGTTTTTGTGATAGGGATCTCTCCAAATCTGCAAGAAATACAAATCAACGTGAGTAATGAACAATAATTTTAATGATTTTTTGCTTACCCAGGTTGATATAGTTTGTCAAATTCAAAGTTTGTCACGACCATGATATAGTTTCTAACTTTTTTTAGCTTGCGGACGACATTGATGATTTTGCAAGTTCTGAGGAAAGCTCCATTGTCAAATTGTTGGGCCTTAAAGAATACTCATACATAAAACTGGATCACTTGAGGATTGTTACTTTCTTGAACTTTTCTGGGACAAGGAATCAAATGGGACTTGCAAAGTTTCTGCTAATGAGATCCCCTAGGCTCAAGAATTTGCTAATTTCAAGCGATGCTAATCTATCCAGTGAAAGAAATTTTTATATTCTGAAAGAGCTCAGTCGATTGGAGCGTTCTTCACCAAGTGCCAAGCTTATTTATGATTAGGTGAGAAAAGAGCTATTATATCCATTAGATGTCTCTGAATTTTCTGGAAACCATTGTGCCAAAGAAAAGAGAGATAGTGTGCCAATCTCATAAAATGTTGCCGCAATTTATCATATATAGTACAAAAAAAGGAGCAAGTATTCCATAGTAGATTTTCAATAATTTAGACATCTTAAGTAAAAAAAGCCAAAATGGTTCGGATTGACTGTAATATTAGAGTAAATTTTCCTTTTTGAGAGCAACTTGAAGGGGAATAAATGCAATGCATTCTTAAAATATATTTTATTGCTCTGAAGTTTTTTGTTTTTTCTTTAAAATAGCAATCCCCAAAATCTTTCTTAGTTTGGATAGTGTGGTCTATTGTTGGGCTCAAATGCCTGGTCTTGGCTCTTGACTAATGACTTGTGATACCAAACAATAGTGCCTATTTAAAACTTATACTTGATGGTGGTATACTGGTAATTAAGTTAGGTTGGTGTTAATATAATTGTAAAACATGTCTATGCATTGAGTAATACGGAGTACTACCTCCGTTCTGTTCTGTTTAAATGACACAATTATTTAGACAATAACTAAATACTCCGTAAGATAATTCGAGTATGTTTTGAGAAATGATTTTGATAGGTATATATAATACATTGAGGTTAATGGTGATAACTGTGATGTAATAGATGTATCATTCATATGGAAAATCATATTGAAATGTCAGACCCATCCCTCAATTGTCCAAATTGCTATATGTGTGGTCCTTTGAGGGGTGAAATGTACTCCTCGCCAACATTGTACATTTCACCCCTCAAAGGACTACAATTGCAGCAATTTGGACAATTGAGGGGTGTCATATACAAACTCAAAAATATGGGCTGACATTTCAATGTGGTGACTATTTTAGAGACTAAAAGTGTGTTTTTTCCTTGTTATTTTAATATTTGATGATTAGATTGTCATTTAAGAGTGTTATTGTTTCTTAAAATAGAAATGAGAACTTTTATATAGGACGTCCAAAAAAGGAAAGTAAGAACATTTCTTTGGAACACAGGGAGTATAATTTAAAGGCTAAAGGGTCAAATAGGTACATGAACTAACTTAAAGTGTTCAATTAACCCCTTATAAAGGAGTTTCTGCCTGGACGTCGCCAATTGGGGCGGTTCCCGGTGGAATTTTTTGATGAAATTTTTTTAGCATCTTCTTCATTAAGTCTAGTTTACCCATACCAAATTTCAGCTAAAAATTCAACCGGGAAGGCAGTCGAATTTTTTTCCGAAATGTACTGCGCTGTTTAATTTTTCAGAAAATCATTCGACTGCCTTCCCGGCTGAATTTTTAGCTGAAATTTGGTATGGGTACACTAGACTTAATGAAGAAAATGCTCAAAAAAATTCATCAAAAAATTCCACCGGGAACCGCCCCAATTGGCGATGTCCGGGCAGAAACTCCTATATAAGGGGCTAATTGAACACTTTAGGTTAGTTCATGTACCTATTTGACCCTTTAGCCTATTTTAAAATACGTTCTAAAACTGGGTCAAACCAACATGGGAAAATGTAGAGAGATTGGCTAACATAGTAACATTGTAAAACTTAACGAACATTAGAAGTTGATGTAAACCGTGGAAAATAAAACCAAGTACTTGACTACTTTCACTAATCTTTATAGGTAGAATGACAAACTTAAATGTAGTACTGTACGTAGTCAATGTTCATATTTTTTTGAGCATATCTCCAAAATTCAGATATCACATTTTTTGTTGTGATTGAGGTTTATCTAAAAAATTGCATATGTACATTTACCAGAACTGAAGGTATTGTTTGTCCATCTATCTATGCAGCATAGCTATTGTGCACATAAAGTAATACTGAATTACTGACAATAGTGTTTTGCTTCTCACTCCTTCTCAGGTGCATATGATGAGGTCAGTGACTCCAGTGAGTGTATGAGTGCAGACTGAAGTGATGATTCCCAAACTCCCAACATTGATCACTGTTATCATATCTTCTTTCTTTGGTACAATTTGTTATCAACACATGGATGTAATATTCCTCACCATGCATTGATGCCTTATATTCCTGTTCACTCTTTCACCAATTATGCTCAACTAAGGAATTAATGATTTGTGGAGGTGGTAAACAAATTATAAAAGAGAAAGTATAAAAGAGACCAAGGTGCACACTTCTCACCTCTATATCAGTAGGATGCACGCGTAGGGGTGGACCTGGTCCATCGGTCTGCCGCCATTGTTTCGGACCGACCACGTCCAGAATTTCCGTTTCGGGCCTGGGACCGGCCCTGCCCACCCAAGAGGGGCACCCGGTTCGGTTCACGTATTTGGGGAATGAACCGAGCAATTCCGGGCCCGGACTGATGATTCTTTTAGCCTTGGAAACGGGCAAAAAAGAAGATAGAATGGGACTGCGACCGGACCTCCCGAGTACCTGGAACCGGCCCAGATGCGGATATAACTGGGTCAAACCCGGGCTTCTCTCATCAATGACTCGGACCCGGTGGATACCCGGGCCTGTCCCGGGCCTACCGCTTAATATCCAAAATCCCGCCGGGCCTAGGCCCGACCCGGCCCGAATCCACCCCTAGGGACGAAGTCCACTCATATGCACGTGCATATGTAGATACCATGCAATGGCTATTAGGTAAGAAGAGATTGAACTATTGAAGTAGTAATTCATTATTCATATACTATGAATCTTATCTTAAAAAAGAGTTTAAGGACGAAATACAAAATAAGGTAAACATCTAATTGAATTTTGCATTCTTCACCCCTCAAGTTTGCTGCCGGAACATGCTTTTGGATTTAAGTTTAGTGAATGGTTGAGGAAGAAGAATTTTAGTGAAGACATGTTTTGTAAGCTCAAGAAATACTAAAGTATTTACAATGTGTTGGACAGCTTGATAATTGCAATAGAGGTGGAGCAAGTTGGTCTGGTATTTGGAGTTCAAAGACAAGTAGAATGTCAAGTGGTGGGACATGATGCCCAACGAGCAGGGGCGGCCGCCCTAGTTCCACTTTGCATGTAGTGTGAGTAGACTTCTTTTTTTAATTTTTAAACTCAATTAAATGGCTCAAGATTTAATTTTTAAAAATAATGCAAAGTGACACGCCTCTCTTAATTTTCTTCGGATCTCTAAGTTTTATAATCCTTTTAATCACAAAATTACCAAGTTATGTTAGGCCTCCCAAGTCCAAAACTCCCAATTCGCAAAGCCATCCAAATTGATTTGTTGTTTCCGAATTCCAATATCAACAAGAGTAAAGAAAGTTGCAAAGCGGTGAGTGCCTCAACGGGTTTTTAAAGAAAATTAGAAAAGATAGGGTTAAGTTAGAAGGGATACAACAACATCCAAGCCTTAATCCCTTAAGATTTGGGGTTGGCTAACATGAATCGATCTATGGTATCGATTCCAAAAAAGAAAGACAAACAAGAAAAAAAGGATAAAATGAATAAGATAAAGATAAATAAATATAAGATAACAATAACATAATAATACAAGAAACATAAAAGATTAAAAGACAAAAGAGCATAAGCAAGCTCGAATGTAAAAATAACATAAGAACATAAAAAGGCAAAGAAGATAAACGATAAAAGAAAAAAAAAAGATGGAAAAAGAAAAGGGTTCAACCGTCCACACAAATGTGCGTCTTCCACTTTGCCCTCTCCAAAGTCATACTCTCATCCAACCCAAGAAGCTGCATATCAGTTCTCATTCCTCTAATCCAAGTCTATTTGGATTTTCCCGTCCCTCTCCTCTCCATCTCTTCTCCTCACCCCTCAAGTCGTCTAACAGGTGCATAACTCGGTCTTCTACGCACATGCCCAAACCACCGAAAAATGCATCTTAAGTTAGAAGGGATCAATGGAAAATTTTGTTTTTGTTAAGAAATTGAATCTTGAAAATTCCGTGAGAAACATTTTTAAGTAATGTTTTTCTTTTTATGTGATACTTGTGTTGTTACTTTTCACCAAATATGTAATTTAAATAATCATAATAAAATGAGTTTCATTTTTATTTAATGACCTTTTTGGATAATTTTATTATAATTATTATTTTAAATAGGGAAAAGGTGCAAATAGGCCTATGTACTAACCAAAAAAGGTCAAATAAGCCCTTATTTAGGAGGTTCTGTACGGCCGTCGTCATTTCGGGTGGTTCCCGGTGGAATTTTTTGATGACATTTTTTGAGCATCTTATTTATCAAGTCTAGTTTACTCATAGCAAATTTCAGCTAAAACTTCAATCGGGAAGGCATTCAAATGAATTCTTGAAAATAACTGCGCAGTTATCTTCAAGAATTCATTTGAATGCCTTCCTGATTAAAGTTTTAGCTGAAATTTGGTATGAGTAAACTAGACTTAATGAATAAGATGCTCAAAATATTTCATCAAAAAATTCCACCGGGAACCACGCCAAATGGCGACGGCCGGACAGAGCCTCCTAAATAAGGGCTTATTTGACCTTTTTTGGTTAGTACATGGGCCTATTTAAATAAATATAGTTTATTATTTGTCTTAAATATAAGCTCAAAATATTATCTCGCTCATAGGCCCGAAAATAAACAGGACCGACCATGCCAACTAGTATGATGGCATTTCAATGAGGTTGTCGAGGGCATGCTATGAATTGGGGGAGCGGGTTAACCGATATGGAGTAAGTAATTTATGGTCTTGTGACAATGAGGTAGACGAGCAAACCAACCAAATGTCAGGAGCGCGTTGATGTGAGTTTTCTCGCACTTAAAAAGATTGTAATATAATGGTGTAAGTACGGGTATCGTCTCTACAGGGACGAAAAAAAGGGAATCAAGAATTAACTAAATTCAGCGATTAAAAAGGAAATAGAATAAAACACAATTGTGCGAGATGAATGGTTTGAAAAATAAAATAATGTGAATGAACAATTAAATAAAAAGATTGGTTTCTCTCTAATTAACGATGAAGGGAACAGGGAATGATTCCGGGGTAACCATATTTCTGGAAGATCGGGCTTAATCACATGAATTTAATTTAATTGAGCCTAGCTTAATCATTACTAAGTTCTTACCGCTCTCGCGGCGTAGAGTACAATAATTTAGGGAACCAGGCTGATCTCTCATGCGACAAGATTCTAAATTATTACCAAGTCGAGCGAGCTTAGGGCCCCTTAATCGCTACTAATCTCTTAGCGAACGATTAAGTGTGTGCGAATGTGTCCTAGAACAAATTAGATCTCTCTTAATTTAATCTACATGCAATTGTAATTCTAGCTGCAGTCTATGTTACAAGAGATATCAATTAAATTATTCATACACAAATTAAACGACATTCATGCAATTAAACCATCAAGAATCTAGTCATACATCATGATCAACCCCTTCATCAACCCCAAATCCCTAATTAAACTACTCACAATTCATAAGTGAAGAATCAACAGAATTGGGATGAATAGAAATAATTGTCATTAATTAAAAATACCCTTTCTTCCTTTTTTTAGTTAGTCATGTAAATACCCTTTCTTCCGGTCAATGATCGTAGACTTTAATTTAATTTCATCTTTTTTGAAATGCATAATAAACATTGGTGGAAAACTAATGAGTGCAAAGTTATCGACATATATTATATTTTGATGGATAATAATCTCGAAATTGGAGTTGTTACTGTCATGTAGGGGTGTAAACCAAACCCGGTACTACCACCTTATGAAATTTACAAGGGAAGATCCATCCCCTCTACTACCACGTTTGGTTATTTTGATGTCAACTTTTATTTTTTTTGTTTTTATTTATTTTTATTTTTTATTTTTACTCCAGGGGGTCTGGGGAGGGAGGCTTGGGGGAGTCTAGAGTAATCAGGACTGAAACTCACTCCATTGAGTTTCAAACCCTTGTGTGTCTAGCGGGATTCGAACTCGAGACCTCCCACTAGGCACAATAACCTCGCAACCAGCTAGGCTGGAGTGCTTGGTTTGTCAACTTTTATTTACTCTCATTCCCAGTGAACTAATGAAAAAACTAATACTCTGTATTTATTATAGATTATAATTATTATAAATAATGTTATATTTAATTATTTGTATTATGAT